GGTGTGGTTGCCCGCCTTCCGCCCGGCCTTCGGGCAGGCGTCGAGCCTTTCGGGCGACCCCGACTCCCTCCCGCCGCCGCCGGCACGCATGCTGCGGCCCCGGGCCACAGCCACCGCCCCCGTTACCCCCGTCGCGGGGAAGGCGCGCCCCCCGCGTCACGTCCGCGCCGCGTCCTCGTCTCCTAGGGTCGGCGGTGTCAGCGCTGCTGCTGCTGCTGCTGCTGCTGCTGCTGCTGCTCCTGCTGCTGCTGCTGCTGCTGCCGGCGCTGTTTCACCGGGCCCGCGCACCCCGGGTACCCTGAACGTTGCTACCGCCGCCGCCGCCGTCGCCGCCGCCGTCGCCGCCGCCAACCCGTCGCTCACGGACGAGGACGAGGATCGCTCCCGCTCCCAGTCTCCGGTGAAGCCGACTGCGGCGGCGGCGGCGGCGGCCGTCGAGCGGTTCGGGGGATCGGGCCGACGGGGCAGGTCGAGGTCATCGTCTCCGCCTGGGATGCAAATGATGGTGGCAGCGGCCGCTACCGGTGGCGGCGGCGGCGGCGGCGACTCCGGGGCGGGAGGCGGGAGGCGGGGAGAGAAACCCTTCCGCAGTCTGAGCCCGCTGCTCACCAAGGGGAAGGTTTTCTTTTCTCCGGGGGGTAAGGCACGCTGGCCATCGTCCAAGTCTCCGGCAAGAAATCATCGCCGCTCGGCGGCGGCGGCGGCGGCGGCGGCGGCGACGGCTGGCGAGGGTGCGGATGACGCCGTTGGTAACGCTGCCGCTGCTGCTGCCGCCGGTAGTTGCAGGAACGACGGTGACCGAAGTGAGAAAGACGAGGATGATGCGGGTGGCGCAGGCGACGGGAGCAGCGGCGGTAGTAGCAGCCCCAGCGGTTCAAGCGACGCCAGCGGAGCCGAGTCTGCTGGCAAAGGCGCGGAGGAGACAACCGGCCGCGATGCCGAAATCCCGGCGCCCGGGGTCGCGCCGGAGGCCGCTTTTACGGACAGCCGACACGTCAAAACGGCCGTGCTCCCGCCCCCGCCCCCGCCTCCCCCGACGCCGTACAGCACGCCACCGCCACCATCATCATCGTCACGGCGAGGGGGCGAGGGGCCGAAGCCCCGCGGCCCGTCGACGCCAGTTAAGGGGGGTGTACTTCAGGCGTCGTCGCCGTTGCGCAAGACCCCGGTGGCGTCCCCGGCGCGACCGCCTCTCAAGCCAATGGCCGCGGAGCAGCAGCAGAAGCAGCGGGAGCTACGCCGCGAAGAATCCAGCAGCTCCGCGGCGGGAGGAGACACGGGCGGCAACGGGAGGCGGGCGGGCGGAAGGCCGTCGCTGCTGGACGGGGTGGAGCAATCGAGCGACCTAGGCGCCTTCTTCAGGCAGGGGGAGGCCGGCGGGAGGCGGCGGAGGGGTCGGCGCCTGTCGCCGAGGAGGAGAGGGGCGGGGTCGCTCGCGCCGGGGGTTTTGCGGCGGTCTTCCCCCCGACGGACCCGCGCCTTCGCCGGTGGTGGCGGGGGTGAGAAGGACCAGGATGAGGACGAGGAAGAGGAGGAGGAGGAGGAGGAGGGGGTGGAAGACGAGGAGGAGGAGGAGGAACATGGATGCGGTGCAGGCGTGGGAGTGCACGTGATTGTCCTTCATCATGGCTACTGCGGCTCCTCCATGGACATGCGGCTCATCAAGAACTACATCAGGTCTGGTTGTGCAGTGTCTTGTAGTAGGAAGTGCTTCTCCGCTGAGCATCCGTCGTTTCGCTTGGAAGCACGGGGGGGTTGATTGGCTTGGCTACGTACCTGCCACGATTTGTGTGATGTCAGCACACGATTTTTGCACTCACCCCTTGTGCCACATCGGCAGGGTCCCGTGCCTATGGCACTGCCCGAGCTGATCGATCATCGCGAGCATTTCCCCCCATACCATGCAGTACATCACATCTCCTCGGGGCAGCTTCTGTGTTGGTGGACAGACAGAAAGACAGAACCCTACAAAGCCCTGCAGAGGTGTTGATGCCGCTTTATGCTCGCACTTTCGCGCTCATTCCGACATGGGTGTATCAACCGTTTTTCGTTGCGTCAGGATTTTTGCGCCAGACGCCCTGGTGTTGAACGCTGAGTCCAACGAGCGGGACCCTCACACATCGATGAAGATGATGGGGGAAAAGCTCGCCAAGGAAGTTCACCGGTGAGAGGGAGAGAGAAAGACAGACGCACCGTGCATGTTTATGCTTTGGAACGGGGGGGGGGGAGGGGGGTACTCATAGTCGTGCATGCCGTAGTCGTAAGACCGTTGGCCTCGCATTTCTACAAAGCCGGGACGGAGCACGCCGGGTTTTTGATACGCGGACCAGGCTCTCACATCACCAAGCGCGAAGCGCCTTGAGGTATTCGGCGAGTCGGATGGAGGGTGCGCTGCATCCTGCGAAGGGCGTTCGGCATGCACACGGATGACAGCTGCGAATGACTTATTTCATCTTCTGGTGCTTTCACTTCCAGAGACAGCTGTAAGCACTGTGTATCTGCCTCGGGGGTGCTTGACGAACTTAACACAACGTGGTGCGATCATCCCCCTTGCGCGGAGTGAGGGTCTCGACCCCGCACAACATAGTCTACTCGACCACCATTCACTATGGTTACCGTAACAAAAAGAGGTATCCTGGTTGCCGAGCTCACGAAGTGATAGGCTTGTTTTACAACGTCGTTGCCAAGTGACGAAACCCCAACCCCGATGGCGAACACCGGGCGGGGGAGGGGCTTTGGCAGTATAATCTGGTGGTGTGTTTCCAACTGGTCCGGAGGCACCGTGCTTGTTCATATGTAACATAGCTTGCGGTCCGCCACGCCTCATCGCCCAAGCCATGCGCTGACATGTCATGAACACTGGTATGTATCATGTCATGATACCGCGTGCGACAGCGGGCTTGAAGGCTCATTGAGAAACACCACTACTTGCTTCAATTTGCTGGGCGTGCCCCTGAGGCCGAAGCAGGAGTAGCTCGGCACCGTTGAGGACGCATAGCATACGTGCATACATCATGCCGTCACCTAATTGTACCTTTTCTATCTCTATTCTCTCTCTCTCTGTGTCTATCTGTCTCTCTCTTTATGTCTCTCTGTCTGTCTCCGCCTCTCTCTCTCTCTCTCTCTCTCTCTCTCTCTCTCTCTCTCTCTGCCTGCCTGCCTGTTTATCTATGTATCTCTCTCTCTCCTTCTCTCGGGCACGACGCACGTCGGACTGGACTGAACGAACGGACGACGGAATAACGGATGCCACTGTTCCGTCTGTGAATCGCTCCATCACACGCGTGGGACGGAACGGAACCAAACAATGAAACGGAACCAAACGAACCAAAACGGAACGGAATGGAACCCAACGGGGAACGAAACAACCACACCAAACGAAACCACGGGACGGAATGGAATCACGGGACGGAACCGAACCACGGGACGGAACGAAACCACGGGACGGATTACACAAGGTTTCTGTTGGTCCGAGCGCGGAGCCTTCTCCTACCGGGTGGCCAGGGTCGGCTGTCGTTCATCGGCCACAGCGCGGGGGCGGTCATTATTCGGGTGGCGCTTTCCTCTCCATCCCTGCAGCCGGCGCTGGGTCGGCTGCACATGTTCGTGTCGCTGGGGTCCCCGCACCTGGGAACGGTGTACGGGGCGAGCGGGATCGTGAGGACAGGAATGTGGGCAATGAAGAGGTGGGGTGTGTTGGTGTGTTGGCGGCTTGACGGTAGGGGGGGGGAGTGGAGGAAGTGTACGTGTGTGTGTGTCGGCGTGTGAGGTTTTTGTTGGCATCGACCGCGCTAGCTAGAAAAGGCAGTCTCATCGTGGCTATTGTATCAACTATCAACAGGAAAATCTTGTGTCTACGTGTGAGTTCATTTTTAGCATCGACCGTGCTAGCTAAAAGGCATCAGTCTCATCGCGGCTATCAACAAGAAAGCCCTTCTGTGTGTGTGTGTTTGCGTACACGTGTGTGGAACTAATAGTTATTTTTTATTTGGACGACAGCAGTGTTGACATGTTTGGTTGACGTGCTGGACACAGTGTGACGGGGTCACGCGGTGGAGAGATGATGATGATGATGATGATGATGATGATGATGATGATGATGATGATGTTGCCATAGCGATGATTTTTGTATGATGATAACCAAGATGGCGACGATAATGATGGCGGTGGCGTTCACGACCCACAGGTGGACGAAGAGCGCTCTCTTGGAGGAGCTGGGTCTAACGGATGCCCCCCGGCCTCGCGATACCCTCCTGTGCTGGCTCAGCCAGCAGCCGGGGCTGGAGTACTTCCGGTGCGTCTCGTCTCTCGCCCTCTTTGCGTCCTTTTGTTTTTCTGTTTTTTGATGCCGCATGGATCGTCCAATGTGCAAGCCGTGCTGCGGTTCCCGCGGTTTTGTGGATGGAAGAAACTACCGTACCACACGCCATCCCAGGCTTTGTGTGGTACGCCGCAGGTCAGGTCGTTTGATTTTATCTCATCCACCTCGTTTCGTCTGTCATTTTTGTTGTTGTTGCCGTGCTGCGTCGGTTTTGCGGTGCCTCTCCACTCCCCCCCCCCCCCAGGCATGTGGTGCTGGTCTCGGCGGATAAGGACGGCTACGTCCCATCTCAGTCTGCCAGAATACAGATGTGCGATGCGTCCCTACGCGATGCCAAGAGAGAGGTGCCGCACGGACAGGCAAGTTAGTCGAAAGTCGGGAGAGCTGTGCAGGTTCTTGAGACAGAGAAAGCGTGTAAAGTTGTTCATGTGTACAAGACCGAAGTGTGAAAGGATAGCTCATGTTGCTAGCCTTGTGACTCCGCAGTATGAACTGAACCAAACCAAGCCTTTGCCTGGTGTAAACCTGGCATACTTAAATGTCTCAGCCTCACCCAGATCCGAAGCGGTGTATGAATTTTAAGTTCCTGTCCGTGTGAATGTAGCTGACGTGAAGTCGGTGTGTAGTCAAGTTGGTGAAATGTTCAAGTCTGGTGAAACCAACAAAACGCCCGCCAAGAAAACGCTCCCCGGAGGTGAAGAACGCCTACCGCCGGCACAAAAGCACACACACAGACCAAGCGTTGGGTATCAGCTACAAAAAACTTCACGTCTTGAATGTGCTCGTTGGGTTGGTGAAATGTTCAAGTTCATGTTCCAAGTCCGAGCAAATCGGAATCACTATCACAGGGTATTATCGATCGATCACCTACTACGCCGTTTTTCGTTTTCCGATTGGTCGGTGACCCCCCCCCCTCGTCCCGGCGACTATCTCGTGCTACTACCTGAATAGGCTCGTTGCTTGAACGAAGACGTTTTGTTCACGGCAATAGTGTTAAGTGGCAGTGTAGACTGCTAGAGTAAGCATGGCCGTATGGCCCTAATATTTTCCCCCTATTGCATGTAATATTCGCCCCAATCCCCGCGGCCCATCTACTCCTGCCGCTTTCTGCGATTTTTGTTTCCATGTCTTGTCTGCTGTAGGTGGTGTGTGAAATGGCGAGAGCTCTGCTTGAGCCCATCAACGATGATAGCTTGTATCGACTGCATCTGTGGGGAGGAGAGAGACAGCCAAACGCCGGGGGCGGGGGAATGGACGAGTACATCGGCCGGACAGCGCACGTGAGAGAAAATGGAGTATGGATGATGCTGGTGCTGTCGTGGCGCGAGAAATTATTTGCCAAACAATATATCTACTTTCGAAGCACTCATGCTTGCCTTTCCTGTCACCTTCAAGCCTCTGCTGAGCAGAACCGTGCGATTTGCCCATGCATCGATTTAGTGTTGTCTGTATCCGTAAGGAATAACTCAATCTGCTCCGTCCTCTCGAGGACGCGTGGTCAATGGTCTAAACGCTAAGGCGTGCAAGACATCAGTACGCCCCCCCCCCCCCCCACCCCCCCCCCCCTTTTACCCCCCTTTTTTTTTTTTTTGGCCCCCTCTTTTCCCTCTTTTTTTCAAAAACTTTTTTGGGGGGGGGGGTTCCCCCCCCCCTCCCGAAAAGCCCCCTGTTTTCCCCCCCCCCCCGGGGTTTTTTTTTTTTTTTGGGGTTGGGGGGAAAAAAAAAAATTTTTGTCAAATTTTTTTTTGGGGGGATTGGAAACCCCCGGGGGGTT